CTCTCTCTCTTTTTTTTTTTGTCTGTTGGTATGTGGCCAGTGTTCTATTGACAGGCCCCTTTTCCTTCACTGAAGCCCCTAGTTTTGTTTGTGGCATTGTATTCTGCTCCACACAGGTAAGGTTGTTGACAAGTTCGGGGCTGATGAACTGAAACCACACACAGCTAACGATTTTCTGGCCCCCCTCATGAGGAAGGGATGAGTTACAGAAAGTTCCCAGGGGCCGGTGACCGTTGTGGTGGCATCTCTTCTCCCAGGCCATTCCCTGTGTGTGGTGAGAGTTCTCTCCGTGTGCTCAGTCTGCATCCACTTCTGCTCAAACTCTGTGCACGTGGCAAGTTCCATCCGCCGGTCGCCTGGGAGGGCACATCACGGACCCTTGAAGGGATGATTGCCAGGCTGGCTGAGATCAGTCACGATTCATGGCTGTGGGGTCAGGGCGCTAGTCCCAAGAAGACAGGGTAACGGTTGTTGGCAAGGCAACCCACAGGGTCTGCCACATCCCTACAAGAAAGAACAACGCAGTTAAACAGATCGGCTCAGCCACAAGAGGGACGATTTCCTCCAGCACCAGTCTCCTAAAGGCCCCCCACAAGCTCATTTTATTTCCTTTTACAGTTCTCCATCTCCCCCATAACCTGCTTTTGGGGGGGGTGTCTTGTGGTTTTAGCATTTTCTACCAGCAAATGAAATGCTAATTGGCTCCTGCCTATGATGACGCTCCCACCTGCTGGCAGAAACACAGTCTGGACGGGGGTGAATGTCGCCATAGGACGAACTGCAGCAATCTGGGGGGCATCAGATGTGTCTTCAGCTGCTTGATATGGAGGCTGTCATGATCTCACCCCGAGCGAGGCTGAGCATTTGGACCCTTCTTAATGTAACTGCCGTGTCCTGCCTCTCCTAGAGAGTTAGATATCTTACACCATCAGTTTTTGTTTACTCTGCCTTGCGCTGTGCAATGTCATTGTCAGATATCATTGAAGACAGCGGTTCCCTACATGCTTTGAGCCCTAGTGATGAGGTTAACTCGAAGGAAAGCCCAGTTGGATTTTCCCAGCTTTTCCATCTTTCTCGGGAAGCGATGGGCTGGGATTTGGGGTCCTCAACCCATTTCACCAGCTCTTGGCCATCATAGGGGAAAAAGACCCATGCTGGAGAATCTAGACTTCTGATCCCAGGGTCTCCTTCCAGCCAGCTCCCTGAGACCAGGAGCTCTCTTCTCCATCCAATAGAACACCTTATTTACTGAATATTTGCTGTGAGGGGCTGACCTCACAGCCCTGGGGGAGACCCAGAACCTGCAGGAGGTCTGCCCTTTCTCTCTCTCTCCTCAGGAATCAACTATTGTGCACTGAACAAACCGGGCTGTGAGCATGAATGCATCAACACGGAGGAAGGCTACTCCTGCCGCTGCCGTCGGGGCTACAGCCTGGACCCCAACGGCAAGACTTGCAGCCGTGAGTGTGCCGTGGCGGGGGTTCCAACGGGAGGGTGCGGTTCACATGCAGGCTCACTTCTGAAGCTGCTGGGTTTCCTGTGAGCCTGACGGTCCAACAGGCTTCGCCTTCCTCGCCTCAGTTTCATCATCCATAAAATGGGACTGTTCGTGCCACCTACCTCATAGGTTTGTTTGTGGGGATTAAAAGAATCAATACGTATAAAACACTTAGAAAAGTGCTGCTACGGGGTGCCTGGGTGGCTCAGTCGGTGAAGCATCTGACTTCGGCTCCGGTCATGATCTCGTGGCCCATGAGTTCAAGCCCCGCGTTGGGCTCTGTGCTGACCGCTCAGAGCATGGAGCCTGCTTCGGATTCTGTGTCTCCCCCTCTCTCTGCCCCCTCCTCGCTCATGCTCTCTCTCTGTCTCTCAAAATAAATAAACGTTAAAAAATTTAAAAAAGAAATAAAAGTGCTGCTGAATATTAATAAACATTCAGTGAATATTAGCTAATGTTATTATTCGCTGTTGAGAGCACTGATTAAGTCAGACCCATCGGAATCTAAATCCAAGCTCTACTACATACTAGATGTGTGGCCCTGGGCAAGTTATTTAACTTTGCCAAGCTTTGATTTTCCCATCTGTTTTATTTATGTATTCATGTATTTATTTATATATTTAATATCATGGTTTTTTAATGCTTATTTATTTATTTTGAGAGAGAGCGCTAGTGCAGGGGAGGGGCAGAGAGAGAGGGAGAGGGAGAGAATTCCAAGTAGGTTCTGCATATCAGTGCAGAGCCCAGTTTGGGGCTCAAACTCATGAACCGCGAGTTCGTGACCTGAGCTGAAACCAAGAGTCGGATGCTTAACTAACTGAGCCACCCAGGCGCCCCGATCTGCGAGGGTTTTTAAGGGGAATAGTCAGGACCGATTTAGGCTCTTAGCCTGTGCCTGGGCCAAGGAAAGCACAATGAAAGATAACCGTTCATTATTCCCACGGAGCCTGGGAGAGTGACCAGAGAGGCTCCGGGCTGGGACAAGAGGCCAAAAGAGACAGACTTCAGAAAGTACACGGGCTACCACAGGGCTGATCTGAGGGCGGAGCTGGGAAATATGGGACTTTTTGTTAAGCCTTTCTTAACTGTCTTGTGTAAGAGGCACAACAAACCCCCATTCGGTGATGTAAACGCACGGAAACTTGCAGGCTTTGCCAGCTGGCGGCTTCTGTCCTGTTTTATGAGGCACGGTCTCCACTGGTCCAGGCCAGCGGGGGCGGGGGCACACGAGCACTGCGGCCGATGCCTGGGACCCTGGTCTGCTGGGAGAGGGGCTCTGTGACGTGGCCAGCGCAGAAGGGACCCTTTGTGTGTGTGGCTTTCCACACGGCAGGCTTCACATCTGCTCCAGCTTTGGGGACAGAGATAGATTGTGAATGAGAACAGTGCAGCTGTTCAGCATTTGGACCTCAAACTGCCAGAAGGGGAAGTTTCACAGATGAAGTATTAGGGGCAGAGCAGTCCTGAGGAAAACTGGTTCCCCTTCAGTCGTTAGCGGGAACAAAGTACCTCGATTAGGCTTTCTAAGGACTGATCCCAGAGGTCAACTTTTGAACTAGAAAGTTGGCACTGCTATGCATTTGCCTCTGGAAGTCTCTGAGGTCTTATGAGAAGTGAGTGGGGAGCCGGAAGTCTTCCATTTGACAAGGACACACCCTGGTCAAGGTGGATCTGGGTACAGTCTGCCTTCTTTCGGGGGTACAGGGTCTGCCAGCTGACAGCCCTGGCAAGCATCCCAGGACAGGCTGGGCATGACCTGGTTGAGCCCACATAGAGCCCCGGAGGCCATAGCCTCTCCTCCCTCCCAGCATGCCTTGAAGGAGCCTAGAGGAGCTCAGGGGGAGGGGGCCAGAAGTGATTGGGCTATACTTTCTCTCTGGGGATCTCATAAGAAAGACCACCTGGGGGCGCCTGGGTGGCTCAGTCCATTCAGCATCAGACTCTTGGTTTCGGCTCAGGTCACCATCTCACCATTTGTGGGTTTGAGCCCTGCATCAGGCTCTGTGCTGACAGCTTGGAGCCTGCTTGGGGTTCTCTCTCTCTCCCTCTTTCTCTGCACCTCCCCTGCTGTCTCACTCTCTCTCTCTCAAAATAAATAAACAATAAAAAAAAAAAGTTAAAGGAAAAAAGACCACCTAGTCAGCTTCAAGAAAGTGTAAACCAAGTGATCTCTTCCTAGGAGTTCCCAGAGAACCGTGGTATCCTGTTCCCCTTAAGGACTCAGGGAGCCCCAGGCCATAATGACAGCCAGCCCTTATGAGGTGCACACTCTGTGAGCACTTCCCAGGCACTCACTCACTTTATCCTCACAATAGACTTTTGAGGCATCTACATTCTTGTCCCTATTTAAAGACGGGGAAACTGTGGCACAAAAAGATTAAGTCACTTTCCCGCAGTCACACGACTGGTTAACGGTGGAACCAAGATGTGAATACGGGCTTCTGGCTCCTGAGGTCCTGCAAGCGTTTGCAGTAGGCACATCCGCCAATGGAATGTTCCAGAAGGCACTAGCCCCAGGCCCTTCAGGAGTCCAAGAGGCCTACTTGATGGCCCTGCACAAGGTCCTCAGTGTCTCTCCAGTCCTTGGGTGTGCTTTTTCTCCATCAAGGAAATCTGGGAGGCAGCCTGCAGGGCCGTCTGTGGGAGCGGTTCGCCACAGCTGTGTGTTCACTGTCCCTCAGTGCTCGCTGCCCAGAGGGGCCAGCTGCACAGCGTTCAGGTGCCAGGATCGGCCACACATGCAGGCTGTGGCTTTGGTTTGTTTTCAGAATCTGGGTGTCCTGGGTATGGGGGATAAGAACACTTTTTCTGTGTCACTTCCAGAGAAAAATGAAACTATACAATGAGTTCTTTCCCAGCGATACTTAATAAGCATCCAGTCGGCGATTACTGTGTGCCAGCTACAGTTCTGAGGGCCTTACGTGTATCAACTCCTCTCCTTCTTGCCACATTCCTCTAAGAAAGCGCCCATCGTCACCCCCCTTCCTCCAGTCGGGAAATGGTGACCCAGAGGCCAAGCGACTGACTACCCAGCATCTCTTGGCGAGGAAGGGGTTGGTGCAGGTGGGATTTGAGCCCAGCTGCTTCGATGCCACAGCCTTCAGTCTTAAGCACCGTCAGCTGTATGGCTTCGGGCAAGCAGCTCGGCCTTCCTGAGCCTCGCTTTCCTCCCCGAGATGGGGCTCACGCCTGCCCTTAGCCCTGAGGACTGCAGATTATGGTGCCAAGGCCCTGGCACAAAGTGCTGCTGGCTTTCACACCAGCACAGGAGTCACGCGCACTTTACTCTCTAAACCCAGACAAGGGAAGGAAAACAAGCAAACAAGGCTGATTCTCCGGAGACCAGATGCACCTGGTTGCACAAAACCCTCCAGTACTGCTCTTTGCGATGCCCTTGAAGTCAAAGGCCCCTATAGCCTCCCCTCTCCAGGGAGGTTTGTGTTAATGCCCTGGTGCTGGTGAGTGTTGTTCCATCAGGTTATTTTGTCTTTTCCCATGTGGCAAACGCAGGAGTGGATCACTGCGCGGAGCAGGACCATGGCTGTGAGCAGCTGTGTCTAAACACCGAGGAGTCCTTCGTGTGCCAGTGCTCAGAAGGCTTCCTCATCAACGAGGACCTCAAGACCTGTTCCAGTGAGTCCCCCTCTATGCTTCTCTTACATGGAAAAGGTTTGCAACACGAGTGGAAAATCTGACCGCTGCAGAGGAGGGCGCCTCGTGGTCCTCTCCTTCTCTGCTCTGGGGAGATTGTGGGGGATGTCCCCTGGGGACCGCATGCCTTGGTGGAGTGGGTGGGGGGCGGATAAGCAAGACTGTGGTCACTTGACTCCCCTCATCAGTAGCTCAGAGGCTTACTGACCACCTCAGCTGGCTGTCTGGTTTTGCAGGGGTGGATTACTGCTTGCTGAGCAACCATGGCTGCGAATACTCCTGCGTCAACACGGACACATCCTTTGCCTGTCAGTGTCCCGAGGGACACGTGCTCCGCAGTGACGGGAAGACCTGTGCCAGTGAGTGCTCTGGGTCTGGTGACCAGCGGGACTTGCCACCGGCGGTCTGTGGGTGGAGCATGTGCCAGGCTGGGCTTCGAGGGCACTGAGTGTGGGTTAAAGGCCGCTCTCAGTGATTTGAGCCCCGGTGCCGCTCCCCCTGCCTGGGAGCTTCCTCGCCCTACGCCCCAGCACAGCTTTTTCTTACTTCTGCCGTCTGCTGCGGGGCCATTTCGAAGCTGGACAGGGTCCTATGTCTTGGCCTCGTCTTCTCTACCACAATCTGGCAGAAAGTGGTAGCTGGCCTGCAATGCGCAATAATGATGGTGATGTGGACCCCTTGTTCAAGGCTGACTTCATGCCGGGCACTGTGCTAAGCACACACAACCCCGAGTTCCAGCAATACTGTGGGACCCCCATCATGCGGTGAAACTGCAGCTCGGGTTAAGAAAGGAGCCTAAGGTCATCCCTTTTAGAGGGGTGGGTTCCACTCTGGTCTGTGTAACTCCAGAGTCAGTTCTGGGAGAAGGGGAGACTCCTGGGAAACCTTCCCTCTCCCATCCTCATAACCTAGCACCAGATGGAGAAGTTGGCAGTGATGTTTCCTGGGTACATGTTTCCTTGCAGCTGGCCCCAACTCCTGCTCCATTAATTTAAAAAAAAAAAAAAAAAAAGCCCTTGGACCTCCCTCTCTCCTCACTCAAGAATCTTGTGCTTTCTGCCCTCCAATCCAAGCAGACTAAGGTAAAAATTTTAAAAATGGACACTTTGACAGAAGGTGTCAGCAATGGAGGAAAAGGACTACCATTTTCTTTCCCCGTCCTGCTGGTCTTTCTGGTTATAGGGCTGGCCTCCCTAACTACTGATACAATTGTGGCCACAACCTGATGTATCTACCTTTTTCTATTGTCCATTCACATGGGCAGGTGGACTGATGCAGAGCTGGGTGTGCCCCTCCATGCAGACTGTGAGAAAACATTTCCCTAGTTTGAGGCAGATTCTTGAGTCTCGACAAATGGATTATCCATTTATGGCTAACGTGTGGCTGCCTGCCTGCCAGCTGCCTTCTTGGACCGCTGCTGCAGCCAGCACGGAGAGGGTGTGGGCACTGGGGTGCAGAAGGAGGGTGGGTGCGTGGAATTGCATCGACATTTGACTGCATGCCGGAGCCAGCTGCGTGGGTTTTTTTATTGGTTTGCTTTAATTTTCCATCATCTTAGATTATCCATGCCCTTCCTTTGTCCCCTCCGCTCACTGTGATCATCACGGGCTCACTATAAACTGGCTGCAGGACTTCTAAGAAATTCTCACGGCCCTTCCCAACAAGCGCTGTCCCTTTTCCTTACAATCACATGCCCCCTTCCCCTCCTTACCCAGGTCCACCGCTGATTTATGGCACTGACCCTTTTAAATGTTGCGTGTTTTCCCTTTAATTGAAGTACAATCAGAAGTGAGTTTTGATGTGTGTATATCTATGTACGGTTGTGACTGTATGAAAACTTGTGAGATCCTCAGATGGGTTAGAATTATCCTTTGGGAATGGTGGTACCTAGGAGACGGTGGTACCAGCAGCTGATACATAGGCGTTGAGCTATTCCCCTAATTGAAGGCTGTCTGTCTGCCCCGGGATGATTCAGTCTGGCTGCCCTGTCCTGTAATAATGGGCTCTGTTTTCAGTGTGGCCATAGTTAACTGGGGGCTACGTTTCCCAGCTCTGTGCCAGATGACAAAGAGCCTGATGACATGACTCCCAACTTTTTGGAAAAGCCTGCTGAGCTGTGGAGCAGGGGGGCCTGCTGGGGCCCGCCAGGCCTGGCTCACTGTATGAGGGTGTCCTTCGCCCTTCGGAAAGGCAGCCTCCACTTAGAGCCTTGATAGCAGATGGCCTGAAGAACCCAGAGCAGACCCAGGGTCCCAGGGCCCTGGAACTAAGTGGGCATTGTTACCCCCACACCCCTGGGCTCTCTGGCCCCTGGGATGAAACCCATCCTCCCTTCATCCTGAACTTGGCCTCCAAGCTGTGATTGCCTAGATTCTCCCCAGGAGCCTTCCTTGCCTTGAGAGGTTGATGCACATACTAGGGGGTCAGGTGGGGAGGGTAATGGGGCAATGAGGTAGTGTCTTCTATGAGCTGCAACTGAGAGGCCTCTCCCACCCTCTAGCTCCTGGTGATTTCCCTGCAGTAGACCATTGGCAAGGGCATCCCAGCCTCAGGCAAGTCCACAGTCTGGATGTGCTCAGAGCACCCAGCCCACTGCACCTCCAGCTGCCCTGTCTCCACGCAGCACAGCCTTCCCTTCCCACTCTTGCGGGTGGAAACCAGCACTCCCTGCTGGCACAGCTGGCCCTCTCCTACCCAGGACTCTCCCTGTGGTATGGGACTCTTTGTACACATCTGAGAACTAATGTGGCAGAGTAGAAAGGATGCTCAACTGAAGAGCCCAAAGGCTGGGTTTGAACCTTGTTGCTTCCACCCTGGGCAAGAGAGTTGACCCTTTCTGGATCTGATCGCTCAACTGTCAACTTGGAATGATTATTCCTGTTGCCAAGTGGCACAGGGAGAGACAAAAATTGACGTGCTTTGGGAACTTGTAAATTGACATAAACCCCTAAGGTATGCTTGCTGTGGTCTTACCTCTCACTCTCACGGTTACACTGCCCTGTACTGAGGACAAGACTGAGGCAGCGCCTTGCCCTGCGGCATGGAGGTCTGCTTCCTAGGGCTGGGCCTGCTTCTGTGGGAGGGGTCCTAGAGATGGACCACTCTGGGGAAGGTCAGACTCAGGACCCCAAGGGCTGCCCTAGGGCGGCCCTTGCTTCCTTGTGGCGAGGGGAGGGTGCTGGCGGGGATCTGGGCCAAAAGCTGCAGAGCACTGGGAATTCTAGTCCAGCCACCACAGGTAGGTCTGTGGAAGCCTTGTCAAGACCTGATACTCCCCAGCTTGACTTTGAAGGGAAGCAGCTCCAAGCAAAGGTAAATGGGGTGTTGTAATCTGCTCAGGCTGCCATAGCAAAGTACCATGGGTTGGGATTTTCTCACAGTTCAGGAGGCTGTAGGTCCAAGGTCAAGGTGCCAGCGTGGTCAGGTTCTGGTAAGAACCCTCTTCTTGGCTTGTGGATGGCCGCCTTCTTGCTGTGTCTTCACATGGTGGTGGGTGAGGAGAGAATAAGCTCAAAGGGCACTAATCCCATCATGGGGTCTCCACCTCGTCTAAACCTAACTACTTCCCCAAAACCCCACCTCAAATGCCACCACACTGGGGGAGTAGGGCTTCAACATATGAATTTGGCAGGGAGGGTGGGGGATGGGGGCACAATTCAGTCCATAGCAGGGAATGAGGGGAGAAGACCACCCTCACCCTCAATGTATTGTAAGTTCGATGGAACAGAAGGAAGCTTAGAGGTCTTGCATTTCTTTTGTGGTAAAGAAGCAGAGGAAGGAAACTGGTGCCTCCAAGCTGGCCCTGAGGTTCGGTGGAAGAGTCAGGAATAGAACCTGGGTCCTCTGATTCAGGACCTCTTGCCCAGATTGAGATGCCCTGTAAAAGTAGGTCTCACTTCAGCTATTTTTTTGGTTTGTCTCAGCAAAAGCCATTACAGAGTCAGCAAATGATTGGCTGCTCCTAGTTTTATTATAAAAAAATGCCAGAAAATGGTGTAATTCTATCTCCCGGGCCTCGTTACCCTCTTGGCAGGCCCCTGTGGCTCTCCTCCCTCTGGGGTGGGGTTGGTTCAACAACCTCCTACGTGGAACCGCAGACACAGGATTGCCATCTGTCATCACCGCAGAGGTGCGAGTCCCCGGAACACGTGACCTTATGATCGCTGTACCACAGACATCCGTGACTCATCGGATGTGGGATCCAGATGTGAGCGCTCAGCCCGCATCCGGACACAGGGCTGCTAGATGTGGGTCCTAAAAACCTAAAAACCTGTGCTTTGTCCCGAAATGTGTCATCATCCTCATCACAAATTGTAGATCTCATTCACGCTGAGGGTTTAATTACACGTGTGGACCTGCCTCCTGAAGGTTGAAAGGTAGAGGAGGCTGCTGTTGGAGGGAAAACGTTTTCTTCCCACATCCTGAGATTTCTCTAATGTCTTCTCATCCATTTCCTGTAAGTGATGGTTCCCAATAGAATTTGTCCTCACTCTCGTCTCTGGATTTAGTCTGGGTACTTCTGTAAGCTCTTGGTCCGTTTGTTCCCATCCTCCACGGGTGTTTACCCTGTACCGTCAGTGGGCTGGGCGCATCACGCTGGGCGCTGGGCTTCTCTGGGGTTGATGCCGGTTCAGTTTCTGCCCTGACAGAGTTTAAAGTTTTTTAGGGAATAAAGATATTAGAAACCTCTCTCGTGATGTGGAAAGAAGAGGTACCACAGAAGCGTGCACTGGGGCGGGGGGGCCTCAGCTAGTCTAGAGAAAGTTTCCGCAGAAAGAGATGTTTGACGGGCCATCTGGAGACTGAAGGAGAGAGCAAGCCAGAGATGGGGGGTATTATGGACTGAATGTTTGCATCCTCCTAAATTCATATGTTGAAATCTTTTAAAAATTTTTTTTTTCAACGTTTATTTATTTTTGGGACAGAGAGAGACAGAGCATGAACGGGGGAGGGGCAGAGAGCGAGGGAGACACAGAATCGGAAACAGGCTCCAGGCTCCGAGCCATCAGCCCAGAGCCCGACGCGGGGCTCGAACTCACGGACCGCGAGATCGTGACCTGGCTGAAGTCGGACGCTTAACCGACTGCGCCACCCAGGCGCCCCCATATGTTGAAATCTTAACCGCCAAAGGTGATGATATTAGAAGGCGGGGCTTTGGGGGTGATGAGGTCCTAAGCATGGGAGGGCCTTCATGAATGGGATTAGTGCCCTAATAAACCAGATCTCACAGAGGCCCCCCAGCCCCTCCTGCCATGTGAGGATACCAGGGGAAGTCTACAGCCTGGGAGAGAGTCCTCACGCAAGCACACTGGGACCCTGATCTCAGACTTACAGCCTCCAGAACTATGAGCTATAGATT